AGGGGCTACGCGCTGTGAGTTCTCACATGTTGGCCAGTGTTCGAAACCCGCCCAGCTTGTCTGTCTGCACGGAAGCCTCCATGAACTGGCTCCTGTGGCTTGGCCCAGGGCTTTGTGGATGAGCTGGAGATCAGGAGAGCCAGCCTCTGTTCTGGACAAAGGCAGGAAGAGGCTGAGGTTCCGGCTCGGGTACCCGGCAGAGGGATGAATCTGGCTTTCTATTAATGTAGGCCTGCCACCCACTGGGTGTCACTCAGCTGCATTAAGATGGGGGGGGGGAACGGGTCTGCTTCAGTGTACTGACTTAAATATCATATGTCTCTCTCACACACACACACCCTCACCGAAACCCCCAGAATAATGCTGGGCTAAGTATCTGGGCACACAGGGCGTAGTCAGGTTGACACGGAAACCAGCCACCATACCAGGTGAGCCGCAGAGCCCGCCTCCCCTTGCTCCGCCACCCTGGGCGGCTTGTCTACCCTCTCTGCTTCTGATGCAAGTAATGTCCGAGGGGAGCGCTGTGGCGCCTGGATTCAGCTTTATCTCGTGCTGGGTGGTTTCTGGCACTGGGGTCACTTCTGCCCCTGCGTGGGGCTCTGTGCAAGCACTGGTCAGACCCCCAGGGTCCATCGGGCCATGCTCTGTCCTCTTTCCTGCCTTTGGTGACCCCAGAGTGTCTGTCTCCATGCGGTGTGTGGGGGGGTTAACCTCACCTTGCTCCTTCAGCACCGGCCGGCCTGACCTTGCTGCACCCCAGATCAGCTGCCACCCCTGGCATGATCCCAAGGTGGCTGGAATGGAGGGACAGTCAGCGAGGTTCTTCGTGTCCCCTTGCTGGACACAAGGCTTGCCCCGCAGGGCCGGGGCTGGTGCATGCCCGTGGGGAGGGGCTCGGACCCCAGCCTGCCCAGGGGGCATGCCGGAGCATCAGGGCTCCTCCTTCTGACTGAGCAGACCCAGGGAGCCCGGTCCCAGCTGTCCAAGGGCCCCTCAGGAGGGCAGGCCTGGGCACGGCCTGTGGTAGGCCCGCCCTGCCCATGTGCACACCTGGGAGCACTGAGACACCCGGGCTGACTGAGCTGTGTGCACCGTTCTGGGGCACACCTTCCCGGCTCTGCCCTGCCTGCCCACCCAGCACCGGATGGAGGGCCCCCCTCAGGGGAGGGGGCGGCCCAAGAGAGCAAGGCCATGGGCCTTCAGAAACAGCAGTGGCCTGCCACCCCCTCTCCATGCCGCTGGGGCCCGGGGTCCCCAGTCCTGCTGAGAGGGCAGAGAGAGAAGGGGGAGAAAGTTAGGGAGGTGGGGAGGGAGAAGAGGGAGAAGGGAAAGAAGTACAGAGAGAGACAGAAGCGGCCTAGCCCACCGCTCACGCTGCTTAGTCTGTTCCAGTCTCGTGGTGATCGGGCCATGCTAGTGACCACCTACGTCAGGAAAGGTGAGCGGCTGGACCGGCAAGGCTGCTGCAAGTCCAGTTGGTGTCTCCCGGCTTTCCCATAGGAGTGGCCAGGCGGCAGCCGCCTCTCCATCAGTGCCAGGACCAGGGAAGCGGGGACATAAAGAACGGTCCCACTGAGGATTACACCTGTCCTGGGAGAGGGAGCCCGCTGGGTGCCCGGCAGTGCTGGCACCCCTGGGAGCCCCACCCCGCATGCTTTTGGTGCAGGGGCCAGTCATGGCCTGCCCGCTGGGTGCCCGGCAGTGCTGGCACCCCTGGGAGCCCCACCCGCGTGCTTCTGGTGCAGGGGCCAGTCATGGCACAAAGGCCGAGCATGTGAGCTGGAGCCCGGGATCCTCTGTACGTTTGCCTGGGGAAGGTGGTCATCTCTTTTCAGCTGGAAAAGACAGAGCAGGCTCTGAGCAGGACGGGGTGGGGACCTCCTGCCCGGGGACCACTTCCAGGAAGTGCTCTCCCACTTCCGGGGAAGTGGGCAGTGGATGGCCAGCCACGGTGCTAAGGAGGGTGTGGAGGGAGAAGCCGGCCTGGGTTGCTCAGGAGGCCGGTGGATGCGTGCCAGGGACAGGCTGGGCTGGCTAGGCCCACGGGCATGTGACAGCTGAGTCAGCCCGGAGGGATGGAGGCCGAGCCCATGCTGTCCCCTGGGCAGGGCAGGCCCCTTCCTGCCCTCCTGGGTGCCGCTATCCACCAGCCATGTCTGGGAAATGTCTTCTTCCTCCTGACCCCAGCATCTCCACCCAGATAAGATGGAGCTTGGTGGGTCTCTTGCTCTTGCTCTTCTTTTCTGCTCTCACTCACTCTCTTGCTCTTGATCTTGTGCTCTTGCTCTTGCTGCTCTTTTCTTGCTCTCTCTGTTCTATTCTAGCTCTCTCTCTGCTCTTTTCTTGCTCTCTCTGTTCTATTCTAGCTCTCTCTCTGTTCTTTTCTTGCTCTCTCCCTTTCCCAGCCACGTGGAGTGCCAACCTTGCCTGGTCCCAGCAGGTCTACTGAATACCTAGGCAACTGGGACACCTGGAAGAGGTCACATCTGCATCCTCTGAGGTCACATCTGAATTTGATGTGGCCACACCTTTCCCCGCCCATACCCTATATAAGGCCTAGCCCAGGCCCAGACGCTCTCTTGCTCTTCTTTTCTGCTCGCTTGCTCTTGCTCTTCTTTTCTAGCTCTCTCTGCTCTTCCTCTCTTGCTCTTCTTTTCTGCTCTCACTCTCTCTCTTGCTCTTGCTACTCTTTTCTTGCTCTCTCTCTGTTCTTTTCTTGCTCTGTCTCTTTCCCAGCCACATGGAGTGCCAACCTTGCCTGGTCTCAGCAGGTCTACTGAATAAACCTACCCCTTACCTGAAAAAAAAAAAAAAGATGGAGCTTGGTGGAAGGCTCAGGGGCTTCATGGGTCGTCAGCAGAGGCTGCCGCCGCCCGGAGGCTGCCCAGGCTGCCCGTGTGGGCCCCAGTGGCCAGTCCGCCCTGGAGAGAGCAGCCTGGCACGTTTGTGGTTTCTCGTGCTGGCGTTCGCTCAGGTAGGGCTGCTGGTGCCAGACTGAGCTGTTGTGCCTTCTCTGTGTTTGGCCGGATGCTTTTCCCCAAAGCAGAGACCCCGCGGCTGCTGACCTGGAGACCTTAGCAAGGATTTGGAAAGCACAGTGCTGGCACAGTGGCTGCCCTCCGTCTTCTTTTAACCGATGGCTGCCAGAAGCTGCTGTCCCTTAAAGGGACGGCCACGGTCCATCGATTGGTCAGGTGTGCAAAGGCTGTTCTGTCACCTCTCTCCTCAGTGTGTGATTGGGGGCCTTTAATGAGAGCCCATTGAATGCAGGTCGAAGCCTGCAGCCCTGCACAGGCCTGATGCTGGAGGCACCTATCAATGGAGAGTGAGAAAGAGCGAGAGAGAGAGAGAGAGAGAGAGAGAGATCCTGGACATAAACCTGGCACACTGTGACGGCACTGCCCCCCTCCCCCAGGCTCCTGCGGGTGCATCCCCGGCCCACTCCTTACATACAGGCTGGGGAGGGATGTGGCCAGTGGGGGTCACGTGACCCTCCCTTATGCTCCCCGTGGTGCCCAGGCCTCGGCAGGGTGACCGGAAAGAATTTGATCAGAGTTGTCCTCTCCACTTGAGCCCACGCAGGTGGGAGGCGCAGGAAGCTGGAGACTTTGCTTCCCCGGAGGCCGGGCCTCTCCCACGGGGAGCCTCCCAGAGGCCATGCGGGCCAGCCTCAGATAAAGATTGCAGCGGCCCTGATAAATCCTGCCTGACCTTTCCCCACAAGGCTTCCATTGTCATTGCTGTGGCCCAGGGGGAGGCCGGTGGGAGGGACTGTTGCTGGGAATGCAGCTTAGGGTGGCTGGTCCTGGGCAGGGCCTCCTGCGGGGGCTCCATGCCTACTTGCCAGATCTCGAGGCCAATCAGCTGGCCTGAGCCTGGGAGCAGGGAGCTGTTTGTCCTCAGATATGGGCTGGCCAGGCAAGGGGCAAGGGGCAGGTCTGCATTACCCCCCCTCCACACACACACACACATACACACACCGCCACATTACCCCCCTCCACACACACACACACACACACACACCGCCACATTACCCCCCTCCACACACACACACCGCCACATTACCCCCCTCCACACACACACACACACACCCCAATGCGGAGAGAGGCTTCCATGCCTCCTGGGAGGAGGGGGGCAGGGCCAAGCCCACAGAGTTAGAGCAGACAGGCCCTTGTTCTGCCCCTTCCCACCTCCCAGGTTGTCTGTGGCCCCCAGCTGGACAGAAGGGAAGGGTGCCCTGCAGGCAGGAGGAGGGAGTCAAACAGCAGCTTCTGGGCATGGCTGGCATCCACAGGTCAGCTTAACCTGGCCCCACTGCCTCCAGCTAACCCACCAATGTTTCTTGGCTGGGTCCCCAGACGAGCCCTGGGAGCCTGAATGTCATCTGTATAGGGCAGGGAAGGGCTCAGGGTGCCAGGTGTGGGGCCGTGTCCCTGCAGGGGGCGCCCTGCCACAGAAGGCCCAGGCCCCCCCCCACCAAAGGGATCGTGCTGCCTCTGCCCTCTGGAGGAGGGCGGGGCCTGCAGCGGAGGGGCGGGGCCGAGGCCCTGGAGCCCTGAGAGCCCAGGGGGAGAGGAAGAGGGCTGAGGGCCTAGGAGGGGTAGAGGAGGTGGACTGGGCATGCTACAGCTCCTCTCTACCTCCCATTCCCCGTCCCCCATCCTGTGCCCCCTGCTGCTGCCCGATGACCCTGCCAGGCCTCCCAGTACCCCCCTCCAGCCCTGCAAGCCCCAGCACGCCTCAGAGCTCTACGCACCGCTGCACTCAGCCGCTCTCTCCATCCGAAGCCGGGTACCCAGTGCCCCTTGCCAAAGGTTGGTGCCCGCCTCTCCCTCCTGTGAACTCTGGCTGTGGACGAAGTAGAGACAGCCCTGGCAGCGCTGGCAGGCGGGGAGCTACGTGGGGTCTAGCCATGAGGCAGAACCTGGACTTTGGGACAGGCCCTGCATTCCTCCAAAGCTCCCTCCCAGGCCCCAGCGGGTCCTGGCCTGTCCTTGGCCTTCAGGATTACAGGTCGCGGTGAACACAGGTGGCACTGAGCTCGACTGGGGAAGGGCTTCCGCCGTCGTGAGTGAAGGGCCGCGCTCAGGGGACTTTCGGGGACTGGGGCTGGCATGTGGCTTTGCTGGCTTTGGGCACAGCATGGTGACAACCGCCCTCACGGTGGCCTTAGGCCCGCGGTGGCCGGAGGCCAGGCCCCGGGGCTTACGGGCAGAGGTGGGCAGTGCGGCCTGCTGTGGTGGCCCGAGTGGCTGTGCCTGGCCGGCAGCCAGCCTCCTCGCCCATGCTTTCTCCTCTCTCCCGTTCCCCATCCTCGTCTCCTTCTCCCGGGTCCCCTTCCCTCCTCTGTTCCGCCCTTCCCCTTAAGCATGGGCTCCCACAGGAGTGAGGCTTAAACACCCATCAGCCTTCAGCTCCCAGGGGCAGAGAAGAAAAGGGGCCCACCGGGCTTGATTCCCAGCCGGCAGCCCGGGGGTCCACAGGCCCCTCCAGCACAAGACACTGCTTCCCACCTCATCCTGGCCGCGCCAGGGGCTTCACCAAGAGAGGTCCGGAGACGTAGATCAGTGATGTGTAAGGCCTTGGGTTCGATTCCTAGCACCACCGAAGGGGAAGGATTGCCCAGGAGGGCACCCAGGAGCCCCGGAGCTGTGTGGGGAATCCGCAGTGTACGGCAGCCCTGGGGGACACGCCTCCTCCAAGGCTTGGGTGTGACTGGACCAGCCCCTGGGCGAGCGGCCCTGGCAGTGCAGTGCAGCCCGTCAGGGCACAGGACCGGCATTCTCACCTGCCAGTGTGGCTGGACCTGCGTGGGTGAGGTGGGGGCCACCCAGGACCAGGGTCATGGTGGGAAGGGAGCCGACTGTGAACGCACCTCCCTGTCCCCGTCCTGTGTGGCACCGCCAGCCATTGGCTAGCAGCGCCGTCAAACTCAGGCAGGAGGAAGGGCGGAGAAGCCTCTGCGCCACTGGCTTTAGCAGCTGTGACCCCAATGCTGGGTGGTGAGAGGAGTCTGGGGACCCTGCTGGCCTGCAGGTGGTTGGGGGGTGGGTGGAGGGGTGTGTGGGTGGGGGGGTAGATGGGTGGAGGGGTGGGGGGTGGAGGGATGAATGGAAGGATGGACGGGTAGACGGGTGGGTGGGTGGGTGGGTGGATGATAGGTATAAGGAGAACACAAGTGAACGGATGGAAGGGAGAGAGGGAGGGGAGCAGCACAGTGTCCACGTGAGTGAATGACAGAATGCGCAGTAAGGAGCCTGGGACCGCCTGACCCCTCAGAGAAGGCTCTGGATGGGTTCTGAGGAGAAAGGCAGCTTGGTGACTGGCGGCCAGGCTGGGCAGGGAGAAGCCCTCTGCCCGCCCGAGCCCGCTGGGAGCTGGGAGGGAGGGAGGCTCCGGGCGGGGAGCTGCCCGGCCACCGTGCCTACCACGCCACCTGGTGGCCCTCGCTGCCTGAGACCTCCAAGGCCAGAGTGGACCGTCACACCCTGGCCATCCCGTGCTGGGGACGGGGGGGAGGGGGGGAGGGGGGGCGGTAAACCTTGGCTGGGCATGTGAGTGAGCAGGGCCACCCATGGGCCTGGGCTGTGGGCAGGAGCCCCTAGATCCACTGACACCCCAGGCACTCTGCCCACTTTTTTTTCTATTTATTTTTTTAAAATGTTACTGAGGGTGACAGTTACGTAGGTCAGGGAGAGAGGACCTTTCCTTTTGGACAGTGTCACCCCTTCCCTCGCTCTCCCAGTTTTTCCCTCCCATTCTCACCAGTTCATTTTCAGCATGTTGTCCAGTGACCATGCCCACTCTTGAAGCCCCACCCGGCCTCCAGAGCCAGCAGGAGAGGCTGTGTGTGTGTAGCGGGGCAGGGCCATCGGAGGGAGCAGGGCCTTTGTCCTTTGCCCTGCTCAGAGCCACCAGTCAGCCGGGAGGCTGGAGCTCCATCCCCAGCCAGAAAGGTGGGCCAGGGGGAATTCCCCGTAGGTTGGTAGGTCGATAGGTGTTCGAGGGGTTCATGGTGGGAGCAGACACAGGGAGCCAGGGCCTTCAGTCCCCCAGCACCTCGGTGTCCACAGCCAGGCCTGCTGTTCTCAGGGTCAGGGTTCTGCCACCTGGAGGATAGGCAAGGCTGCGTGGGTCCAGCGCCCTCAACTGGGACTGCCGGAGCGGGACTGAGTCTCTGGGAACGCGCTGCGTGCAGATCTGCCCGGCAGGAGCAGGGTGGGCTGCAGGGCCGTCCCATGCTGCTCCATCCCTTTGTACCCCAAGGCTGCTTCCTGCCACCTCATGCCACACTGCACTACAACACAGGAGCCCAGCATCTGGGGCTGGGTGTGAACCAAGTGCACCTGGCTTGAGCATTCCTGAGTCTTCTCGTTAGGTGCCGTGACCAGGCACTGGTGGCTCACACCTGCAATCTTAGCTATTCAGGAGGCTGAGATCCAAGGATTGCAGTTCAAAACCAAAACAGGCAGCCACCAAAAAGCTGGAAGGGGAGCTGTGGCTCAAGTGGTAAAGCACCAGCGTTGAGCCCACAAGCTCAGGGACAGTGCCCAGGCCCTGAGTTCAAGCCCTAGCACACAGGGCAGGATATGACCCACAGCACTTGGGCAGGGATCCGGGGGTGAGGGTGAGGGATCTTGAGGTGAGGGGCAGATCAGGCCCGGAGAGCCCAGTCTGCTGTCAGTGTCTCCTGGGGCACTGTGCAGCCACCGGCTCTTTCCTCTGCTCTCTGTATGCACCTGCTGTTGGCCATGTCTGCGCCATGACTGTCTCCCACCATGAAATGCCAATGTGCCAAGGCCAGGAGGGAGTCTAACAGGCCAGTGCAGCCAGTAGTGCACAGGGTCCACTGGAGTGTCCCGCAGACCCAGCTGTCTGCTGGGTCCTGGGCCAGGCCAGGCCCCTGGTCCCCATCCACACTGGCTTCGTGGCTTTCCCGGCTGGCTGGCCCCTGCCTGCTCAGGCTTCTTCTGGGGTCTTGGACGTCTCTGGGGTCCCACTTGTCTCCACCTCATTCCTGGCCCAATTCCTGGGCTGGTTGGGGCCGCCGCCAGCACAGGGCTGTGTCCCCCCAGCCCTGGACCTGACCCTGCTCTCTCTCTCTCTCTCTCTCTCTTCCTCTTTCCAGAGGGCCCCGAGCACCCACGCCATGAAGGAAGAGGCCTTCCTCCGGCGTCGTTTCTCGCTGTGTCCTCCCACCTCCACCCCGCAGAAGACAGACCCCCGGAAACTCACAAGGCACCTGCTCTTGGGCTGTGAGAATGAACTCGGCCCCGTCAGCCCAGGTCGGTGCTGGGCCCTCCTGGGTCCGCAGCCTCTGGGTGGCCTGCCTGAGCCACACCTGCTCTGCTGGGCCCCACACTGGAGACTGGGTTGGGTGGATGAAAGGTTCACTGTGCCTTAAAATGCTGGGTAGACCGGGTACCGGTGGCTCACGCCTGTAATCCTAGCTCCTCAGGAGGCTGAGATCTGAGGATCAAGGTTCAAAGCCAGCCAGCCAGGAAAGTCAGACTCTTATCTCCAATTAACCAGCAAAAAGCTGCAAGTGGAGCTGTGGCTCAAATGGTAGAGCACTTGCAAGTAGAGCAATCAGCACCAGCCTCTGCTCCAAGCTATTCAGAGGGCTTGAGTCCTCTGGGCCCTGTCTGCCGCACTGCCCCTGGCCTCCAGGCAGCCGGGGCCCCTGCTGACCCCCACTGAGGCCAGGGCAGGGGCACGGATTCTGGGCTTGGCTCTAGGGTCCAGCTGCCGCCAGGCCAGAAAGTGGAATTTCACATGCTGGATGCTCCTGGTTCCTCCCTGTGCTGCAGGGAGGGGTCCCCAGAGCCTCCCGCCCCCGCTAGCTCTGTGGGTGTCAGTCCTTTCTACCCACCTGTGTCCAGCCTGTGATGTGCAGGGCATCAACCCAGGCTGTACCATTGCTACTTGGCGCCACGGTTCACCAGCCACAGGAAGTGGCCAGCTCCTTCCTGTAGGCCTCGAGTGTGCGGAGCAAGGTGTGGCCACTTCCCCAGCTCAGATCGACCCCCCTCCCCCCAGCACTCAGGGCAGTGGCCTCCAGACCCTGAGCCCAGGGTGCCCCAAGCCTGGCACGGCCTTCCTCAGAGACCCAAACCACACATCATCACCCATTTGCAGCCAGCTCCCCAGCTTCCTCCCCCTGGCTCGGGGTCCCTCCCAGGGCTGGGGCTCTCCGCCCCCACCCTTCTCCAGGGACAGTGCCACTGCTTGCTTGTGGCTTCCTGCCCCTCCCAGGCCTGCTCCGGGGCCTCCACCTGCTCACCCGGCCGCTCTCTTGCAGGAAAGGACATGGACTCCAATGGTGTGTCACCATCAGGGGATGAAGAGCCCCTGACCCCGGGCTCTGTCACAAAGCCACCACCGGTAAGACCCAGGACAGGGAGCCCGGCCAGGGGCAGCCAAGCCCGCTCGGCCCTGCGCTGTTCATAACCCAGCCGAGCAGGGAAGGGACGTGGGCTGCTGGGGAGCGCGGGGAGGACCCTGTGGGAGGAGCGGCTCCCGATACAGGCTGCACCCAGACTGCTGGGCGCTGTTCCATCGGCCGTGTGCTCTCTCCAGGACACTGGGTTCTAGAGCCTGGGCTTGGCGGGCCTTGGGGCCGTCACCCTCTCTTCCCCAGAGGGTCTTGGTGCCATGGCCCCAGGCGCTGGCTGACGCTGGTGGTCCTGAGCCGAGGACAGTGGAGTTGGAGATCGCCCTGGCCTCTGTTACCTCACCCGTCGGGGGGAGTTCATGATCCCTCTCCGTGTGTTTGTGTGTGTGTGTGTGTGTGTGTGTGCGTGCATGTGCACCAGTCCAGGCTTAAACTTAGCCTTGGCTCTACCATTTGAGCCACAGCCCCACTTCCAGCTTTTTGCTGGTTATAATTGGATGTAAGAGTCTCACAGACTTTTCTTCCTGGGCTGGCTTTGAACCTTGATCCTCATATCTCAGCCTCTTGAGTAGCCAGAATTACAGGTGTGAGCCACTGGCAAGGGCATCTTGACCAATCTCTAAGGCACAGCAGGGGGCGCCATTGTGGTGATGTGCATCTCTACCTCCACCTCCTGAACTTCCTCCCTTCCCACTAACCCCGACTCCCCCACAGCCCCCGACTCCCCCACAACCCCCACTCCCCC